TGGACTCCACCCGTGAGCTCGGTCGCGCTAGTGCTCAGGTCAGTTGCTAACTTGGTCGAGGTTAATGTGCACGTGCACGTTAGTGAAACTTAGAACAAACTGACAAAGGAGAGTTTGTTACTGTTAGAGACTTTTAGAGCAGAGAAACATAAATAAACTATTCAGTACCACATGTTGAATTTGTACAGAAAACCAATTTGTAATACAAATAATGTTAGTTTGGTATCTACAGGTTTCATGCTGTAGGACATATGTTTCTAGTTGGAGTTGGAAGTGAATATTATATTTCAAGGTTTCAGTAATGCATGTGTAACCATCAATTCATAGGTAGGACATCATTAGTAGGCTACAGAGAAAATTAAAAACTTGAAATATATAAAATAATCATATATTTTCATGGGTCACCTCTGCTTTCTGGGACTTTATATATAAGTAGATGGTTGATATTTATTTATGAATAGTCTTGTTTCTGTAAGACGAACTTGTTTATTCTTAGTTGAAGCCTGCAAGCTCAAGGTCTGTGTTAGTTTTATGTATATATTTTATATAGTTCCTTTTATTCTTTTAGTTTAGTTTGCACTTTAGTTCTCAAGTCTTTTTAATTAATAAATAGTTGATGTATTCTTTACGTAATAACCCAGCAGATTGGGTTTTTAAAGGGAAAACTGTTGTCAGCAACATGAAGATAAACTACAGATAAAAGCTAGTCGAGTGATGTTATAAGTGTTTAAATATCATTCAGCAACGTTATTTTTTGACTATTACCAGGTTGAAGAAAATGAAAATTTCTGTACGCCCTGAAAAAGATTCACTATTTCATATTCTTTATTCCTATTACATGTATTCATATTGATGCAAATTATATACTTCACTATAGTTGACATGTACATAGACATGTATTGAAAAGGTGTTATTTCCGTTTTTCTTCCATTTGAAAATTTGAAATTTTCACCTTCGATGTGCACCAGATCGCTCCATTTCAGTGCAAAATTTGAAAAAGCTGCCTGCCGTGGGTGGGGGAAAACCAGACCCACCCCCGCTCGGTCGCTTGGCTCCCTTGCTCGGGCACTTCGCGCCCGAATTACTCAGCCCCCCAGAATGGTCGCTTCGTTCTCTCAATTGGGCCCCCCCACTTTGAAAACCGTGGCGCCGCCCCTGAAACACATGCACGAACCTCAAAGCATATGCAAAACACTACCAGAGTAAGCCTAGCGGTCTTATTTTATCGTTAATCATGATATCTCAACCAAATATGATCGGCAGGTAAATACACCTTTACCATGGCGGCAAAGTCACTGAAATCCTGCTATTGAAAATTGCGATATTAATTTTACTCTCTACTATAACTTTAGAATCGTACGACGGCACAATAGCCATGATTACTTCGATCTAAAATATCTAATCTCTCACTCATCTCTATTTGAGGGACTGACTCTTCTGTTTGAACCAAAAAAAACTATCACTGTGTGTCCCACGACTCGTTCAACACCCGAATTCGTAAGAACACCATTCACAAAGCATAGTTTCCCGCGCATCTATAGGTGGCGCGGCTCTACAATTAACATACAGCGTACAACCAAAAAACGTCACTAAGAATAAACAAAACCCTCCTAACATCCCGGCTCCCTAATTGTGAGCTTGACACGAGCAATTATATTCAACACACCATTAAATGCGAAACATCTTGGCATCACAGAATGCGCAGCGCCTTAGTCAGCTTCTAGAATAATGCATAACTTCGTGATTGGTCGCTTCAGGATGGTGGCTCCAATTCGGACATTGACGACCCTCACAAGCCCCTTGTCGTCATCCATCACTTCCGTCACTCTGCCTACTGGCCACTGGTTTCTCTGCATATTCCTATCCGCCACTAATACCACGTCTCCGACCTTGACGTTCCTCTCCTTCTTTCGCCATTTCTGACGCTCCTGGAGCGCTACCAGGTACTCCGTGCTCCATCTTCTCCAAAACACGTTCGCCAAGTGTTGTACCTGTCGCCACCTTATATTAACATAGTTGTCCTCCTTTACAAACACTCTAGGTGGTGGTGTTTGCTCCGGCTGCAACCTCATCAAGTGGTTGGGTGTCAATGCTGGCGAGTCAACTGCGTCACTGGACACTCGTGCTATTGGCCTGTTGTTCAGGATCGCCTCTGCCTCACAAAAAAGGGTCTGCAAGCCTTCATCCTCCAAGTGAATGACTTGCTCTTTGGCGACTCCGTACAGTACCTTGCGCACGGATCTGATTAGCCTCTCCCAGGCTCCACCATGATGGGAGGCTATTGGGCAGTTGAACTCCCATTCTATCCCTTTCTGACGTAAGGCTGATCCAATCTTTGACTGATTCCACTTCTGGATTTCTTCTTTCAGCTCTCTACAGGCTCCAACTAAATTTGTACCATTATCTAATCTCATGCGACGTACGGCTCGTCTTGCGGCAAATCTCGTGACAGCGTTTATGCACGAATCTGTGGTAAGACTTTGGGCTAACTCAATGTGTACTGCCCGGCTTGAGAAACACGTAAAGATGACTCTGTATCGCTTGTAAGTGCTCCGTCCCCGTTTAACTTTGAACGGGCCAAAGTAGTCCACCCCCGACTGAGTGAAAGCTGGCTGATCCATCTCCAGACGCTGTAATGGCAAATCGGCCATTTTCTGAACCAACAACTTCGCTCGATATCGGCGACAGACTGTGCATTTATCGATGATGCTTCTGATGAGGAGACTTGCTCGCGGAATCCAATACTTCTGTCGGAGTGCACTCAACGTACTGTT